ATATATATATATATAGGCAGTCAGACAGGCCTGGGCCCTCCAAGGACGGAGCATGGAGGACAAGACATCGTGCAACCGTGGGGGAGACAGGCGCTTCTGCTGTGGGCTAGACTTCAAGGAAAATGACTAACAGAATGAACTCTCTCACCTCCCTGGTGATGCTCATCAGGGATGGAGATTCTACGTAGGTATCAATCACCTTGGAAAAGGCAGGGAGAGTCACTAGGCCAACCTCTTTCAGCACAACCCCTGTTCTGCATTCAGGCAGAGCTTCCTTTGGGACATGCTTTGCCATTCCATCCTGATTGAATCAATTTGACCTGAGTGATTCTACTTGTCATTACATCGGTGGGCCATAGTTTTGTCCCCCCCTTGTGCCCATCTAGTGAGGTCCTGTGGGAACACCTTGCACCAGCCTCCACTCATGCATGGTTTTGTTCTCTAAAAATCCCTAGAAGAGGTAGGTTCCTGGGCAAGCCACTGGCATCCCCTTCTGTCCCTCTCTCAGACAGAAGCTTTCCTTCCATCAATAAAGAGATCCTGATCTTCACCTTCATGGTTCCTAAAACTCATACTTCACTTGAGAGCACCCCAGCTCATCCCAGAAAGCTTTCAGCTGGAGAGATGTTTCCCCCTCTATCAACAGCATGAAATATAGTTCTCTTCACTGGTAACAGCAAACGACTTTTGTGTTGCAAGCCCCATTGGCAGTGTCTTCCAGACAAGTGAAGGCCCACTCTTTCATGCTCCACACACGCTCAACACGTTCATGCATCCCCTCTCATCTAAGGTACGGCTCCAATCTGTAGCTGAAAATGAGCCAGCTCTGCTGATACACACGAGAGGCAAGGGATGGATGAGGAGGGGAAAAGAAGCATCCCACGGGGTACAAACCCACAGAACCCTCAAGAGATGTGAGAAGCATAGAGAGCTATGGATTGCCACCATGGGCCAAGGGCCTCTGCCCCTTCTCTGGCCTCTGTAGATGAGGTTGTGTTGGCAGCTGCTGAGGTCTCTTCCAAAAGGAATAATGTGTGTAGCTCTTCTGTCCTCCATTTCCAGGGGCCTCACATGACAGCTTCCAAGTAGTCCTGGTGAAAACACTGACACCACAGAAAGTGGAACGTGCTATACAATGGGTCCCAACACTCCTTCCTCGGGTCGTCACAGTGCTGACTTGGAGAGCAGTGAGCCTAAAGGAACAATTGGGTGTACTGTGGAAAAGCTGCTTTTCCTGGAGCACTGGGTGGGGCAGTGGCCTCACAGACCCTCCAGGAATCTGCTTGCCCAAAGGCAGACAGAAGTGAGTGAATTGCTAACCATGGCAGGGAAAGCAATGAGATAAGCTGTCAAAGAACTAGCTCCTCAGGAGGCTGGGGGCCAGGGAGCTCAGGGCCTGGAATTTCGGGAAGTGGAGGAGGGGCGAGTGCGGGCTGCAGGGTAGGGCCCAGAGAGGGTCTCCAGGTTCAGGGAAGCCCACAGAAGGATCCGGAGGGGTTGGGACAC